AGATTAATCATAACTAAAAGAAGAGTTCAAGAGTTAATTTATATTTAAATGAATTTAGAGATTAATAAAAAAAAATGATTGATAATTTAAAATAAATAGTTTGAGTTAATTTAAAAATAGAAATAATTTTGAAATACTAATTTTTATCTCATTTTTAACGATTTGAATTTGATTGAGTCGAGACGAATTAATTTGATTTTGATTCGATTTGATTGATAGGTTCGAGTCGATGCTACGTCATTAGGTGTCCACCTAAGGGAAATCCTGCGGGTGCGACATTTACACTAGGCTACGAAAACCTAAGTACTAGAGTCGATTCCTGGGAAATTGACCTCAAATAATGAGGTCAACACCTAACTCTACAGCGAGGCTTTCCGGAGGTTTTAAAATTGATAATTTGGGGCTTAGGATCATCGCTACTTACTTAACAATTTTTTTAAAACATGGGACTTACAACTTCACATAGAAGTAGCCCGCTATTGGGTCTTACAACCTAACCCTATAGGCTAGGATGCCATAAGGCTTTAATTACTTTTAGGAAATTTTATGATAGAAATTCCACATGCTTTCAACATAGGAATCATAATTAATGTATTTCAAAAAATTATTTAAAGATGAAATTCTTTCTTGAGGCTTTTGGCTTAATTTTTCAACAAGAGTTGTCTATGTGATTAGATTTGGGTAGCGCCTTGTGGCTTTCATTAGAAAGTGGCCCAATTAGTGAGACTTACGACCTGTACTAAGGGTAGCCCGAATATTTTAGTTAGATAGATCTTAGTGATTCCTTAGAAGTTGTCTAATGATGGGTCTTACGACCTAGCCCTATAAGTTAAGTGGTCCGATGAGGAATATAAGGCTGTGTTATTACTTAAATATTTATCTCTGAGGCTGGACATACGACTTTTATTAGAAGTGGCTGGTGTTTTAATTGGGGGTTAGCGTTTAGGTCAATTTCTACCTAAAATTTTCCCTAAGGTCAGACTTACTACTTTCCTTTGAAAGTTGCTGGGTAGTTGGTCCTACAACCAAGTTCCTATAAACAAGGTTTCCCGGAAGTTTAGAATTCGATTGTGTTTATTGAGTTGACACCAGTGTTTTTAGAAATTTGACACTTGCATTAGTATTTTAGTTGTTCTTTTTTTGTAGTCTTTTTCCTACTACAGTAATCCATTACTCTACTCATTTTCTGGCACTATTACTTTACTAGTTTTTCAGCACTTAGCTTTTCTAACTTTCCATTACTTTATTTTACCTGTAGTAGCACAGATTTATCAACATTCATTCAATTTATTTATGATCTACCGACTCTTCATTAGTTTGTTTGCACGTGTTCGTAGCCCGTAGTTACAACAACCAATGCTTGCAGTTGCAGAGGATAGAGCTCACAAGATAATTGCAGAAACTCATACAAGAGGGATTTTGGAGAGCTTGCAGGGGGGTTTGAAGATTTCTGAGTTGTTTGTACATATTTTTTTTGGAGAGTTGAGTTTGTTGTGAAGAGTTGTACTTTGAGTTTGAATTGTTATTAGAGAGTTTGAGATCCTGAGAATTGATTTAAAGAGTTTTTGTACATATTAATTAGTGGAAAAAACATTCTCCCCCTCTCTTTTATTGCATTTGTTATATAATTAATCAAATTAATCATTAAATTCCAATGCTCTTAATTTTTTAACTGACAATTCTTGGATGTAAAATCATTCACATTTTCAGATTTGCTCTCATATTTTAAAATTTCTCGAATTTGAAAAAAAAATTATTTAAAATGCTCTGGGATATGAAAATTAACCAATTAATCTTAACTAGTTAATTAATTTTGAGTAATCAATTAATGAGATAAACCATCCAGAACGAACCTAAGGTACAACGGCCCGGGTTCTTTGATAGTTGCTTGAAAATCTTAAATTTCTTCTTTCTTATTATTATTATTTAATTTTAAATATCGAGCATTTGGATCCAGTCGAAGGAGCAGAGTCGAACAATAAGAAAAGGAACCAAAGAGACCACTGTACCATCACTCTACACCCGTTAAATTCAGCCGAATGAGTATTGTGCATGCGTTAAATTCAGAAAATGGGTAAATCCCTATATTTGGCAGATTTATGGGATTTGAACAAAGAAGAGCACGAAGGGCAGAAAGTTACCTTCATAACCAGAGAACTTCTATTGTTGTTTCTGATCAAAATGTGTTCACTTACAATTCGACAGGAAGGGAAAGTCTTCAAAGGAGTAAAGTCGGATAACCACGGAAGAGCCAAAGGAGCAAATCGTGCAATCTCTATTCCTCTTATTAAGCAGATATCGGACGACAACAATGGCGGAATAAGCGACTCACAGAATCTCTGCCTCCTGCGAAATGAAGTAGAACCACAACGAAGGAGAGGAAGAGGCGACCCATGCAGCCTCTACCCTCCCACAAAGCAGCAAAGTCGGACGGCTAAAAGTAGTCAAAGGAGTTGCTCATGCACTCTCTTTCTCTCGCGCAAACTGAAGCCAAACAGCAAACGAAGGAGCCGGAGAACGACTCGCGCGATCTTCTTCGCCTCTTGCGAAGCAATGAAAATCTAACTACAACGAAGGGGATCCAAAGAGCGTAACTTCCCTTCTTCGATCATTTTCTCCTTTTTATCAAGTAACTCATTAAATAGCAGTCACGAAGATAAAGAGGACAACGTTTGGCGAGGTGGGGCCGGTGGAGGCAGTGAATCGAT